AAATGGCTATGGCTGGGCCAGGCCAAAGCCAGGAGCTTCTTCTAGGTCTTCCACATGGTTTCACTAAACTGCTTTCTAGGCACATTAACAGGGAGCTGGATCAAAAGTAAAGCAGCTGGGATTGGAAGTAATTCCCATGGAGAATGCCATCACTGCAGTCAGCAGCCTAACGTGCTACATCACAGTGACAGCCCCTAGTGTAGCGATTTAAAACATCAGGTTTGGGAAGGCCAACGTGCTTATGTTTGAAATCTAGTTTTACACGTTATTGGCTGTTCATGTGCCTCAGTTTCCTTATAAGGGTAATATTTTTACCCAATATTTATAGTTGTTTTAGAATGAATCAAATTAATCATGCTTAAAATAGCACCAGGCAATATAGATCTTTAGTAATTTTTCTTATAATTGTACTGTTTATTCATAAAATGGCTGTTATGAAAAGTGGAAGCCTTATAAATTAAAAATAGAATTATTGCAAAAAACTGTAACAGGACAGACACAGCTGAAGTTACACTTAATTGGCGAGTTGGATGGTGAAGCTAAGGAATTTCACTTGAACAGTGTCAAGTGACTGAAGAAAGGAATAGGATGACAGAGTGACAAGTTTTAGCATCTAACACAAGTTCCAGACAGTAAATAAGGGAAGGAAGAGGAGAAAAAAAATATTTTCTTAAATCCCAGAAGAAATGTTCCCAATATTAAAGACTCAAATATTCAAAGTGTTTGCCAACTATGAGCAGAATCGATGAGAAAAGTTCTATAACTTGGATTCATAGTGATGAAATTCTGTGAAGCTGAGGGAAAAAAGAAAAATTATAAAACTTTCAAAGGAAAATAATAGGTTATCTAAGTGAATCACAGTGAGAGTAGGCTTTGCTTACTAATCATGGAATTATGAAAATCTGTGGAAAATAGCTTTGAAATTATGAGGGGAAAATGATTTGAAACCTCAAGTTCTCTATTTAGCCAAAATAACCTTCAAAACTGAGAGCAAAACAAATCATTTCAAAAATGGCAAAAACTGAAAAAATTTTTCAAATGAAACCTTGAGGAAGATTAATGAGCCATAGTCTTTATTTAACAACAAATGAAGAAACCAGCAAACATAGGGTTAAAACTAAGTAATTAAAAATATTTCTGGAAAGTTTAATGAATATGTTAATTATGAGAATGCTTATAGCAAAATTGGAGACTATTAGATGATTTCTATAAATCTTGTGGGCTAAAGAGCATAGTTTTATGTTACTCTAATTTTCAAAATTTAAAGTTCTCCTGTAAGATAGTGGTGTAATTAAGGGCATGCCTTCTTGTTTGGGGAGATTATTATTTATAGCTTAATGTTGATAGAATTATTTGTTTAAATATGTTTGCCAAAAATGAAAAGGCGAGAACATCTTAAGGGTGACTACTCAAAGAATTAAATGGGGCATGTAGTTAGTACTGGAAAAGGGCTGAGCACACTGCTTCTGTATGGGTTAGGTAGATCTCCTGGTTGTGGCCATCACGTCTCCTCTTCTAGTCTGTCTTTGTAACACAAGCAGCTCTGGACAGTGCAGGTAACAAAGCAGAATGGCTGATTGCCAAGGAACCTTGTAATAAACCTTGAAGTTTTAATTTCATATCATTCTCTCATATTGCAAAATACTAATCTTGTGCACTAAACACACAGACAGTGGACTATATTTGATTTACGGATTGTAGTTTAAACAGAGGAATAATTTTAATTTTAAATTAAAATTTCAAATTTTAATTTGAATTATAGACGGAAAAGAGGAGCGTAATGGAGAAGGGGAGTCCACAAACCACCAAAGAGTGCAACAAACAGGAATCAACAGAATGTTAAGAAAATATAGAAATTCTCAGATTGGATATGTCCTCAATAATGAGCTGGTAGCTAACTGAAGGTATATTAATAGGATGGAGCAGGGCTAATAAGAGTTTGATTTGTCAGTCATCAAACTGCTATAGATCTGCAAAGAAAAATGTATGTAAGTGGGTTATTTAGAATTTTTTACATTGATATAACATCCATATGTGACATTTTTCTAATTTATTTCATAAACTCTTCATCTGTAATAGTTTGGAAATTAAAAGCAAATTGTTTTCAGAGCACTGTTAGTGAATACAATACATGTATTCAAAAATAAAATAAAACCATATATGTAGACAGGATAAATAGAAAAAAACAAGTTATAACATTACAGGAAAAAAATTAGTGCCAGCCATGTATATAATTCATTCTTTGGATGAATTTATGACTGACACTGTGGTGTGACAGGCTAGGTTTCCACCTGTGGTGTGGCATCCTGGCTGTCCCACTTCAGATCCAGCCTGGGGAAGCAGAGCAGGATGGCTGAAGTCACTGGACCTCTGAACCTGTGTGGGAAACCCAGAGGAGGCTCCTTGGCTCTTGGCTTCAGATTGGCTCAGCTCCTGCCATTGTGGCCATTTAGTGAGTGAATCAGTGAATGGAGGAGTTTCTGTGTAATTCTGCCTTTCAAATAAAAATAAATCTTTTAAAATGACAAAGTGGAAAAATTCAGATCAAATGTAACCTGTAAGTACCAGAAGGATTTTATTTGTGAGAACAAAAAGAGTGATTTTTTTTAGTCTATAATTTTGAATTGGTTAATATCTTTATTGCAACATAAATTAGTATATTATTATTTAAATGAAACAGCAAAGTATTTAGAGAACATGTATAATAGATATCCCGCTGCCTAATTTGAATATGAAAAGATGCTTAGCTTTATTAATTATAAGAGAAATACAAATCAAAAGAACTTAATGTGAATCATGATTAAAATCAAACAGGCTTATAAGACCAAGTGTTGGTGAGATTGTGACTACAGCAGTAGTAATTCTCATATATTATTGGTGGGTATATGGTGCAATTGTTTTGAAAGACTGGTAGTTACTGAATTGGAACATGCATAATTCCATATGAAACATTTCCATTCAGCTATTTTCTTAACAGAATTGAGTGCTTATGCTCAATAAAAGATAGGTGAAGGGCCTGGTGTGATGGCTAAGTGGCTAAATCTTTGCCTTGCAAGTGCTGGGATCCTATATCCCAGCACTGATTCGTGTCCCACCTGCTCCACTTCCCTACCAGCTCCCTGCTTATAGCCTGGGAAAGCAACAGAAGATGGGAGACCCAAAAGCTCCTGGTTCCTGGGTGTTGCGGCCTCTTGGGAAGTGAACCAGCAGACGGAAGATCTTTGTGTATCTCCTTCTCTTTGTAAATCTGACTTTCCAATAAAAATGAAATTTTAAAAATATAGATAAGACATTGTAATTTATTTTATTCCAAATATCTAAGAAACCTCTGTTGCAACTAGATTTATGTATTTTTAATTGGAAAGTTAGACTGAAAAAGAGGAGGAGATACAGAAAGATAGATCTTCCATCCACTGGTTCCCTCCCCAAGTGACTGCAATGGCTGAAGCTAACTGATTTGAGGCAGGAAGCTTCTTCCAGGTCTCCCAATGCTGAGTCCTAAGGCTTTGGGCTTCAACAGCTTTCCCAGGCCACAGGCAGGGAGCTGCATGGGCTCCCAATGGTTGCAAGGCAGAGATTTAGCCACTAGGGCTCTGCACCAGGCCCCACAGGTTACTTTTGAAGAGAAGATATTTCTTCAGTCCACAATTTCAGATTCCAAGTTGAAAAAATTGCTCCAGGCTCCTTGGTTGCATTACCTCATAGTTCTGATAGCAATGGCAGGAATACTTGGGGAGTATGCCAGGAAGCTGAGAGAGACTTGATTAAGGCCAGGCTTGGACTTTTATAGGGACCCTTTTGAGAGAACTCTTGAGAAGTCCCAGGAGAACAAAGTTACTGTCCCAGTGGCCTAAGGACTTCTCACTTGGCCTTACCCTTAAAGGTCCACACTCTTCCAGCAACACCAACATGGACCAAGCCTCCAGTCACAACCAGTCCTTGGGAGACATTCCAACCACGCCCTAGCCGTAGGCCATGCATTCTGTTCATCTCTTTTTGCAAACATACTATTCTGACTTAATATATTGCCTCATAATACATTTGTGTAATGTTTCATGTCTCCTCTTGCTTATTTTATTACAAGGTTAGTTATTTTTACCTCTTACTTGTTTTAACCTTTAGTTTTGTTTCAATAGCTTTTGGCTTTACCAAGCAACCAAAGTCTTAAAAACCCAGGTATGGGGCCGGCAAAATGGCTCAATTGGTTAATCCTCTACCTGCAAGCACCAGCGTCCCATATGGGCACTGGTTCATGTCCCAGGTCCTCCACTTCCCATGTAGCTGCTTGCTTGTGGCCTGGGAAAGCAGTCAAGGGTGGCCCAAAGCCTTGGGATTCTGTGTGGAAGACCTGGAAGAGGCTCTTGGCTTCAGATTGATTCAGCTCCAGCCATTGCAGCCATCGGAGGGGTGAACCAGCAGACAGAGGCTTTTTCTCTCTCGTTCTTCTCTGTGAATCTACCATTCCAATAAAAATAAATTTAAAATAGCAATTAATAAACAAGGACCTGTATGTGATTGGAATTTTGATTAGAGATTACTGGCATCACTGGTAGATTTCAGAAGCTTTTTATGCATGTCTTCCCATCTCTTTCCCATTACATGATTGTCCTCATGTGGCTTATGCAAGTTAATTTTTGTAGATTTTGTTCTATTGTGAGTGGAAATTTTTATGTAATTTTTATGATCCTTGGTATAACATAATGTTAATATTACAAATTAATAATAATACATTTTTAATATTCTGTGCTAAATCATCTATTTTATATCTCTTACCAACTTCCATGAGATAGTATTGTGAAAACATTCTGTTTATTTTATGTTTGGGGACAATATTTTCTGGAGTATGTTATTTATTTGACACAGATTAGTCCGCATTTATGTTATATCATTGGGTGCCTATTATGTATGGTAAGTAGTTCAAATAGAGCCCCAAATATGTTCAATAATGAGTGTATATTGGCTGTACAGGTGTACATAAATGCTTGTTAACTTGACTCCAGGTTGGGCAATGCAGGCTGCTGCCTATATCTTCATTCATAGGAAGTGGAAGGATGACAAGAGCCATTTTGAAGACATGATTGATTATTTTTGTGATATTCATGAACCACTTCAACTTCTCATATTCCCAGAAGGAACTGATCTAACAGGTAAGGTACCCAGAATTTTAAAACATGGAAGAACTTATAAAACATCAAGCCTAAATGACCCATTCCTCAGATGCGGTTACTGAATACCAAAAGATTAATGGCTGCCTCTAAGATAGTCAAGAGAGCCAGGAGCCCCTCAGGACCCAGAACTCCTGGATGCCAGGAAGCCCCCAAGAAGTCTTGTTATTCATACTTGCTCTCCTACAGCTTTGTGTTTTAAGACTCAGAATCTAGTTTAAAATACCAGCACTTTAAATGTAAGTGTAGTTTCTTTATTTTTAAAGATGTATTTATTTTAAGAGTTATAGAGGAAGAGGGGAAGATGTATCCTGCGTTCTCTGTTTCTCTCCCCAATGGTCACAGTGGCCATCCCTGCACCAAGCCAAAGCCAGGAGCTTCATCTGAGTCTGTGATGGGGGTGATGGTGACTGAACCACTTGGGCCATCTTCTGCTGCTTTTCCCATACCTTTAGCAAGAAGTGGAACAGCTGGGACATGAACCATTGCCCATATAGAATGCCAGCATCACAAGTGGCCATTTTACCTGCTAAGCCAGAACACCAACACCATAAAAGCATAGTTTCAAAATCATATTTTAGGTAAAGTTTGTTTTCTTTACCTGCTTATACAGTCTATTATCATCTTAAAAAGTCATTATTACTCAGTAAGTCCTTTTTCCTCTCGACTTCTTCCTTAAGAATCAGATATTACCAGATTACAGTATTGTTGATTTTATATTACTTTTCTCCTGATAATTAAACTTTATCCCCCTGTAACCAGGAAAGGCTTTATTCCTGCTTCTAGGGGATACAGTTGGACATATTTGTGATTTTTATACTTTCCCAGTATAAAATTATGTAGGCCAAGAGTGCCAGTTCATTAACATTAATACTTAAGTGACTTCAAAAGAGAATTTGAAGTGATTCAGTGTTTGACGGTTTGTTGTATGTGAGAAGACAGAATGAATCAGGGTAGATCGAGAATTAAAAAAGTTACATATGGTATGGGGAGGCGGAACGTGACTTCTAGATCATTGTTGCTCGAGTAGGAAACACAACTCTTAGAGAAAGTGGGTAAAAGAACATCCAGGTTTACATGGTAAACACAGAGTAATTCATGGGATGATTACCAATAAAGAGAGATTATGTTTGAATCTAGCTTTTTTTGTACATTTTTAAATTAGTGCATTTTGATGTAACTTTATGGGGCTAGTGCTGCAGCATAGCTGTTTAAACCTCTGCCTATGCTTCCAGCATCCCACATGGGTGCCACTTCGAGTGCTGGCTGCTCCACCTCCAACCCAGTTCCCTGTTAATGTGCCTGAGAAAGCAGTAGAAGAAGACTCAAGTGCTTTAGCCCATGCACCTATGTGGGAGACCTGGAAGAAACTTCTGGCTCCTAGTTTCATGCCAGCCCAAGTCTAGCCACTGTGACTATTTGGGGAGTGAGCTAGTGGATGGAAGATCTGTCTCTCCCTTTCTCTCTGTAACTTTACCTTTCAATTAAAAGTAAAATCTTAAGCAAAAAATGTAACTTCGCATACATATTCATATTTGGTGATTAATTGTAACTTTTCTGGATTGTGGGAGTAATCTACGTTTGGAAAGCAGAAATGTGCACAAACATTACTGTAGTCCCACAGCCCATAAATAGTGCTCTAGTTTTGGCCTGCTTCTTTTAGGTTATTTGGGTATCTCAAAAAGTTCATGAAAAAAATGGATTAAGTTTATTTTGGTGCAAATTTTTTTTTTTGAAATTCAGGTGTAATTTTTTGATAGTGTTCATTCTGTGGACTTTTTAGGTAAAATATTATGCATTTTATAAATTTAACAGTGTAATAAAGAGCTTTTAACCCCATTTTTTCTGTGAGCTTTTAAACATATTTTCATATTCATAGCTAGAATGATTAAAATTTATTTAAGGAATTGACTCTTGGGATTGTAGGGTTTTGTCAAGTCCACACTCTACAGGGTAGGCTTGCACGGTGGAGATTCAAAGGAGGGGTGCAATTTGAGACTGGAGGCATCTTTTCTTCTTTCTGTTGAGGCCTTCAATGTATTGAATAGTGCCACCCACTTTGTAATCTGCTTTACTCAATCTAGTGATTTAAACAGTCACGTTAAAGAAATACCTTCATAGAGACACTGAGAATGTCTGACCATGTACCTGGGTACTATGACCCCTTCCCATGGACATGTATAATTGGCATACTTTGATGCTGAGCTGCATTTCCTTGATTTGGAAAGAAAAGCTTTTTCTAGGTTTTAACTATACCAGCATTTCGTTTAATATTGGTACCTGCAGCTTTCTATGCTAAACAAAGCTTTAATTTCATGAAGTGTACATTCTATGAAGAAAGGCAGATAAAAACCAGGAAGATAACATTAGATAGTTCTAAGTGCTTTGCAGAGAAATAAGATGAGGTATGGAGCTAGAGGAAAAAAAGTAGGGGTAAGGTGCTATTTTATACAGGGTGGTTAGATGGCCTATGTAGTAAGTTTATTTTTACGTAGGGGCTAATAAAGCACAAGCTGTGAGGCTGTGTGTGTAAAAGGCACAGGTGAGGATGTGCTGTGAGGCGCATTGCAGAGCAGACTGAAGAGTAGGAAGTGACAACGCATCACTGTGGCGTCTCTTGGTTTCCCAACCCGTTGACAGCCCTGTGACACTAATCTGTACACGGTCTTGTGGTCTCAAACCCAGAATATTCCTCTAGGTGTGAGAGAAGTTTTGGAACTGTTCATGTTTAGGAGGCGCCTTTACTTTTCATTTACTGGGGGTCTCTGGGCTTTTTATTCAGTTCTTTATATATTAGAGGGATCGACTCTTCTCAGATTCATTTTCTCTATTACAGAAATGTTGTAACATTGACTAACAGGAATATTCCTTGAATATTTTGTTATGTGGACTGTATCAATGGTTTCTGGAGGATTTGAGGAACCCAGTCATCTTAAATTTACTCCTGGGAAAGTTGCTGTTATTCCAAATGTTTTTTTCAGAAAAGGAAAGTTTTGAGAATAATTTCATTAATTTACAAAGAGGAATTGAATCTTTCTTTAGAGTTGGAGTAATAATCTGTGAGTTTCAGGATGCAGCTGAGGATTGCAGATTCTAACATCTGCTGTCATCAGGAAGAATTTCATGATCTCTCCCAGCAGTGGAGGCCACATTTCTGAGCACTTTGCTTTTGCCAAATGTATTTGCTGAATAATGAGTTTGGTTCTTCTTGGAACTTGTAAAGTTACCTCATGGAATGGAAAAATAAGTTTTTGCCAATAACTGGAACATATACTTGACTCTGTATTCAGCCAAACCATGTTCAGATGTTTGTACATGATGTGCTAATCGTGTGCCCATCTGTTGTGGTGGGGTTTTGGTCAGTAACGTTAGCATGCCCTGTGCTTGAGCAGGACAAAAATTTCACTTTGCATTGGAGGCCTAAATTATTGGGTTAAAAATGTTGCTCTGATATGTTAGATTGCTAGTTATTTCTTCTTGATGTCTGCATTCTTATATTTTGTTAGTTTTTTGTTTTATTAGGATTTTATATTTTAGTATATGAGAAGTATATCATGGAAATTTTCATTGATTATTGTACTTCAGTTTTTATTGCATATTGACTTTTCTGTAAAACCATTTGAACAATTTTAAAGATTTGGATACAAATTCCAGAAAACGGCTATAAAATGTATTAAAAATACCTTATTGTAAAAATTTTTAAATTCCCATAAGTAGGTATAGGATTGTTGTAAGGGCATCTAAAGTATTTGTGTCTTCTCAATTCCGTATTCTTGTTCACAGAACAGTTTAGTGCTATCTTTATAGTTTTTTTTAAAAGAAAATATTCTGGGCTGGCATGATGGCTCAGTTGGCCCATCCTCTGTTTGCAAGCATCAGCATCCCATATGTCATTTTTATTTATAAACATAAGTAAATTTTTTTTTAAAAAAAGATTATTTTATTTATTGGAAAGGCAGTTACAGAGAGAAGGGGTCATACCTTCCCAGGTGACCACAGTGTCTGGGATGACCCAGGCCAGGAGCCAGGGACTTCTTCTGGGTTTTACACGTGGATATAGGGCCCAAGGACAAGGACCTTCCGCTTTCCTTTTTGTAGGGAGCTGGATTGAAAGCAAGGCATCCATGACTTGAACCGGTGCTCTTATGGGATGCCACCACTGCAGGCAATAGATTGACTTGCTAGGCTACAGTGCCAGCCACTTAATTGCCATCTTTATCAAAAACAGCCTGTACTAATTTTCTCCCCTCATGTCTCTATTTTGTGATATCTAAAGAGCTTTTGTTTTGTTCAGAAAATAGCAAGGCTCGAAGTAATGATTTTGCCGAAAAGAATGGACTTCAGAAGTATGAGTATGTCTTACATCCCAGAACTACGGGCTTTACTTTTGTGGTGGACCGTCTGAGAGAAGGTGAGCATTCATTTCAGAATGTGCATATTGATAAAGTAACAGCAATTACTAAACTTTACAGCCCTCTGAAATTCATAGTGAATGTTTTCATGCTTGATTACGATACTGTATTTTAAGTCAACCCACGTACTAAAAGGTGATACATATGCTATCATTGTTAAAGACAATTTATTTTCCCTTTTGAAAACCATAGACTATAACATATAATCAATGTAATTCCATTAAAAAGTATCTCAGTGGCAAAGCTGTCTAAATATCTTATCACTTATAATACCCATGTAGTTGGCTTTTAGAGTTTGAGAATAAATCATTTTATTCATTATTATAATTCTCTGCAGTTTAAAAAAAACTTTGCATTCATTATTTCACTGAAGTAACTCTTGTTGATCAAAAGGCAAGGTAGTGCTAGCTCCACGTTACAGCGGATAGAATAGACATCCAAAGTGCAGGAGAAGAGCTTCATTTGCATACTTTCCAGTTTGTATCTCATACTGCTGCCTCCACTTCTCTTTTGGGCTGTGTCCATTCACGGGTATATGGAGAACAAGGATATTCTGTTGATAATATCTCTCTCACTAAAATGTTTTAATTTTGGCATTTTGGTAATTTAAGAAAAACTGCTTGTACTTTTATTATAACTGCATTATGTACATGTTTCTGTCCATCACTGTCTCCACACCAGTAAAAAAAGGGAATTCTGCAAAAATAATGCCCAAGTGTTAATTTTACTGCACAATTTGAAAGCCAGTCATCTAGCAGAGGAATCTTGTTGATACTGTTTTTGCTCTCCACTGTGATTTCTAACACATGGTGACATCTGGGACAAATTGTCACTTTTTTCTGGTAATTATACCTTTTTCTAAAACTGCCTGTGCCTAGTGCTGAAAGATTTAGAAAAGGTTTTTAGTGGCCGTTCTTTCCCTATATGGGATAATAGTGTTCCTTTAGACTTTTAATGTACTTTCAAATATAACTACCACATTGAAGCATCCTTACTACTAAATATTCATGATTTTAAAGAAATGTACACAGTCCAAAATACCTTGATATGGTAAACTAAAATTAGTGTCTCAGTTAGTTTGTTTTGCTCTTGAAATTGTGTAGTTGTACTTAACATGACAGACTTGGAGGACTACAGAGAGCACCTGTCCACTCCTGTGAGTGTGTAGAGAGCCATTCTGTGTGCTGTGCAGTAGAGGCACCACGACCTTGGGATGGTGATGGTGCTTTTTTTCTCTTTTCTTTTTGTTAATGTTTTACAGTTTACTGTGACGTCTAGTTTGGATTCATCTGTCTTATCAATATTTTCCAATTTTAATAATGTCTTCAAAGGTATTCTTTGATATTATAGAATACATTCATTTAGTGAAATTCTTTGATAACAAAAATATGCCTTTAGAATACATCTTTCATTATGAAAAGTTTTTGAAGTGTAGGCAGGATAACAGATTATTGTGCGGTGGATAAGGATGTATCTTGAGCTCTCTCTTCTGAACTCAAGGAAATATTTTAGTTACGAAGTAAGTTGTAACTTTGAGGACTGTGTATTACTTAGTCTTTATGTTATGAGTCAGCAACAATAATAAGTGATTTTTCTTGCTGGGATGGGCAACTGGTTATCTCCTGCTTATCAGTAGAGACAGAAATACACACATACATACACATGCATGCACATGTGTGCACGCAAAGCAGAGGTGGGGTAGAGAGAGAAGGAGAGAGAGGGGTTCAGTTTTCTTTAGTTAGAAAAATGCAATTACATAATTCCATGTATTTCAGATAGAAACATACAATGTGACTTAAGTACTACAAGAATAAAAACAGGAAACAGAATGATAGCTGCATTAACGACAGCAGTTAACATTGAGTATTTGCTAAATACCTGAATTATGACCAATATTCTTAACAGTTGTTATTTACAGCTCTTCACTGTAGTTATTATTAATATTTAATTCATAATGCAAAACCAAAGCATAAATTGAGGTGAAAAACCTCATCACTTATTGGAGTTACTAAATAACCCATGGTCTTTCATGTGTACCTTGTTGTCTCTTGTATTTTAATAATACGATTTTAGATAATAAAGTCTGCAAATTGTAAGGCACCTTTATAACAATGGTGGACAGGATAATTTTCTCCAAGAAAGAATTTAAAAGAAAAAATTTTTTTCCAAGATGGCCAAATAAAGATATTTGCCTCCATAGAGAAACAACAAAGCCAAAACCCCAAAATGTTGAATTTTGAGGTAAGTGTTCAAGGAAGATACAAACTGAATGGATAAAACAAAGCCATAACACTGTGCTGCCTACAGAAAACTCACTTCACCTGTAAAGGTACACAGACTGCAAATGGAAACCAGAACCAGCAGGAGAGGTTGTACTTTTAGGAGCTGTACAAATGAAATTTTAAGACAAAAACTGTAAAAAAGTGACAATGAAGATGACTATGTAATTATGAAAAGAGCAATAAAGCAATAATATATGATAATTATAAATACAAGAGGCAATAAGTTACAGGATATCAAAGTATTTAGTGTTATAAAGCAAACATTATTAGCTATGAAGGGAGAAATAAACTCCAGAGGGAGCCTTCAGTGCCCCACTTTTGTCCATGGACAGATCACTGAGACCAAAAACTAAAAACAGTTTTGAAAGGAAAATATCAGTTAAGCCATACTATAGACTGAATAAGCCTAGCAGACAATTGCAGGACATTCCAACCAATACCTGTAGAGTATATGTTCTTTTCATCAGCACATGGAGCATTATCTAGGATAGAGCATATAAAAACCCACAAATCAAGTTCAACAAACTCAGAAAAAAACTGAAAGCGCGTATCTTTTTTAACACAACAAGTAAAGCTAGAAACAACAAAGGAATATTTGTAAGTTATCTAAGTTTATGGAGATCAGACAGCTGCTCCTAAATGAGTGAGTCATCGAAGTCAATAGGGAAGACAAAAACTTCCTTGAACTAATGAAAGTGGAAATGCAATGTACTGAAAGTTAGCAGATGCAACAACAGCAGTGCTAAGCAGAATGTTTATGGCATTCATCACAAGCATCCAGAAATTAGAAGATACCAAATAAGTAACCTAACAATGTGTTATAAGGACCTAGGAAATGAGACCAAACCAGACCCAATGTTAGGAGGAGGAAATAATGATTAGGGCAGAAATAACTAATGTGGAAACTTTCAAAAGTCATTTGAAAAGGCAAAACTAAGCATTCAGTGAGACTAAGAGAAGCCTCAAATAAAGTCAGTGGTGAAAAAAGGAGATATTGACATTGAAACTGAAGAAATAAATGGATCATTAGTGATTAGTATACCAACAAATTGGGAAACAAAGAATGTACACATTCCTGGACCCATATAATTAAGGCAAAATTGAATCATGAAGATATTGAACACTTGAATAACACCAGTAATGAGGGTATAGCATGGTAGTGTAATGGCTAAAGTCCTCACCTTGTATGTGCTGGGATCCATATGGGCCCTGGCTTGTATCCCAGCTGCTCCACTTTCCTTCTTGCTTCCTGCTTTTGGCCTGGAAAAGCAGTAGAGGTGAGCCCAAAGTGTTGGGACCCTGTACCCACGTGGGAGACCCAGAAGAAGCTCCCGGCTTCTGTTGGGCTCAACATCAGTCATTGCGGCCACTTGGGAAGTGATCCAGTGGATGGAAGATCTTTCTGTCTCTCCTCTCTGTATATCTGACTTTCCAATAAAAACGAATAAATTTTTCTTTAAAGGAATCAGCATTAGATTAACTCCTAGTGTGAATATTCCATGAAAACCTAGGATTCGATCCAGAAGGCTCCACTGCTGTATTTTGCTTGACTTTAAGGAGGAATAGCACCAGTTCTTTTCACGCTGTTCCAAAAAATTGAAATGGAAAGGATCTTTTCAGGCTTACTGTGCTGGGTTCAGCAGTACCTTGATTTTAAAGCCAGTTGGGCACAGCGGCCACAAAAGAACAGTCTAGACCAGTATCTCTGATGAACACTGATGCAAAATTTCTCATCCAGATTACTAGCAAATTCAGTCCCATAGCACATCCAAAAGATCCTTCGGCTTAACTGTGTGATTTAACATCAATACATCACATCAACATCATTTAATAAAATTTACCATCTATTGATGAAAATTGAACAGAGTTAGATGTAGAAGGAAAATATCAACCTATATGGTCTTCATTAAGACTGCAAATGACAACCCCACAACCAGCATCATTTTGAATGGGGAAGAGCTGAAAGCATTTTCTCTAAGATATGGAACCAGACAAGGATGTTGATTCCTAACATTCTTATTCAGTATAGCACTAGAATGTGCCAGAGCAGTTAGACAAGAGAAGGAAAGGCTTTTGATCACCACATCCTATTGATACTGCCAGGGAGACATCTCCAGACATCCCACTTTCTGTAGTGACCTTGTTCGTTTTCCTTGTCAATCTTTCTGGCTTTCTTACTGTTTCATTAGATAACCATCAATTATAGTAATGTAAACATATATATGTTGGTTTAGAAAATGTTTCTTGAAAACCTATTTCCTTGAGAATTGTAAGGTTTAGAAAACCCAGTTATAAAGCAGTGCTGTAAGAGATGTGAACAATAGGTCCCCTAAAGACATAAGAGGAGATCTTCATCTATAGTTACACGGAAGGGTTGATATGAGAATTCAAGAATAGACATTTTCCCAGAAGAAAAGATGTTTAAGCATTTTTTGTTACTTCCCAATTTCTTGATTAAGACCTTGTAATATGGTTCTCATCTTCTTTTTAAATTTCACTATTTAGAATCCCCTTCATGCAAGGTGAGCTAAAGTATTTGAATTAATTGATCATTTTTAACTATGTCTTAAGCTTTCTTAATTTTGCCCCTGGTTGTGTCTGTGCAGGCTGAAACCAGGAATGTGTTTTTCTCTCTTTCACCTCCAAGTACTATTTATTCTTCCACTAAGAGTCTGCTTCCCAGAGTTTCCAGTGACAGTTGACTGGACTAACTTCTC